ACCTACCAGTGAGTAGCTGCAAATGAAAATCCTGTGTTCTGGGTTTTTAAAAACAAAACAAACAAAACTGTGGCTTTGTCTTCAACCAGATCAGGTATCCCCTAGGACTAGAGGCCCTGACACCTTTTTTTTTTTTTTTTTTTTTTTTTTTTTTTTAATATATATATTTTATTGATTTTTTTACAGAGAGGAAGGGAGAGAGATAGAGAGTTAGAAACATCGATGAGAAACATTGATCAGCTGCTTCCTGCACACCCCTTACTGGGGACGTGCCCACAACCAAGGTACATGCCCTTGACCGGAATCGAACCTGGGACCTTTCAGTCCTCAGACCAACGCTCTAGCCACTGAGCCAAACCGGTCAGGGTGGCCCTGACTCCTTTAATGGGTGGATGTTACATGTGTTGCTGTTCTCAGCTCTCAGGCTCCAAACTAGGAGCCCCTGGGGTCCAGGCCTCACTCCTCTCAGCAGCCACCCCCAACCCTCCCACACAGCTGAGAGCTCCCTCCTCGCACTGGGCGCTGCCTGTGGAGGCTGGGCCAGCCCCTCTCACCACTTTGCCCCTCCTACAGGTCTCCGGTGGTCTCTGCTCTTCCTTGTTATCAGTCTCCTCCTCAGCTGGACCTCAGTTAGTAGTTCTGGGTGAATGTTCCCCATTTTAGTTTTATTTCCAGCATGTGCACGTGCAAAGTGTGTGAACTTTCCTCAGCACGTGTATCAGAAATACTTTATTAAATACCATGTCTAAATAGAGGATGCTGTGCACTGTAGAAGTTTTAAGGCTTCAGCTCTAATAGAAGAGGATACAAGTCTTTCTCGTTTTGGATCAAGCTATTGCCTCTTTTCAATTTACATGGTAGACTTTGAGAGCACTCTTGGAGATCATAAAAGTACTGGGCACTCTGCCACCATGTACTTCAGTCTGTGGTGGAACGGAGAGTCAGACCAAGGCAAGTGGATAAATAAGAATCTACAGTAAATAGATAATACTCCAGTCTAAATAGATTAAAGTGAAAGAGAATGTAAAAATAAATGAAGGGAAGTGGAAGGTTGATAATAATAATAATAATAATAATAATAATAAACAATAATATCTCATTTTTATCAGAGCTTACTGTATACCAGGCACAGTGCTACAGGCTCTGTGTACATTATGTAACTAAGTTCTCACAATAATCCTTTCGTTTAGAAACTGTTACCATCCTCAAATTACTGATGAGAAAGTTGAGAGTTAATGAAGAGTTAGTTTCTAGCTCAACTAGCTAGTTGGTGGCAAAGTCTGAATTTAAACCCAAGATATCTACCCCAGTGCTTGCATACTAAACCATCACGTGTCAGGAAGCAGGAAAAAAAGAGAAGTTGCAATTACTTCCTGAAAAGAGCAAATGTGAACGTATGTTTCAAACGCTCTTGGCATGACATGGAGGCAGGAGCCAGCATGCAGGCTGAGCCTGGCTCCCTCGGAAGGTAGCCATCCAAGCAGCTCTTCTCTCTGTTGTTATTTGCAGCCGTAGTGGCTGACTCTCTTTTTCCTGCTCCCTCTTCCTTCCGTTGGCAACACATATGAGCAGGGAAATGATGGGCTATGCAATACATAGCTTTGGAGCAAGAATATATTTTAGTAAACTTGTTAGTGAAATAACATACATACAGGCGAATCCAGCAATACATTTAAAACATCATACACCATGATCGAGTGGGATTTATTCCAGAGATGCAAGGTTGGTGCAATATTCACAAATCAATAAACATGAGACACCACATTAAAAAGGAAAGGATAAAAAGCACATGATCCTATCAGTAGAGGCAGAAAGAGCATTTGATGAAATCTAGCGCCCATTTATGATAAAAACTCTCAGCGAAGTGGGAACACACCTCGACATAATGAAAGCCATCTCTGACAGACCCACAGTCAACATCATCCTCGATGAGCAAAAGCAACAAGTGCAACCCTATGACCAGGAACCGGACAGGGATGTTCACCTTCACCATTCTTCTTCAGCATCACGCCGGAAGTCCTAATCACAACCATCAGAAAAGAAAAAAATAAAAGGCACCCAAACTGGAATGGAGAAAGTAAAACTGTCATTATTTATAATTGACATGATATGGTATATGTAAAACCCTAAAGATTCCACCAAAAAACCGACTGGTACTGATAAATGAATTCAGTAACGTAGTAGGATACAAAATAAATAACCAGAAATCAGTTGCAATTTTTAAAAGTAAGTTTTTATTGATTCTAGAGAGACGAAGGGAAAGGATAGAGAGATAGAAACATCGATGAGAGAGAAACATCACTGGATGACTGCTTCCTGCACACTCCCTCCTGGAACCTGGGCATGTGCGCTGACAGGGAATGGAACCATGACCTCCTGGTTCACAGGCCGATGCTTAAAACACCGAGAGCCACACTGACCAGGCAAAATTAAGAAAACAACACCCTTTACAATTGCATAAAAAAATACATGGAAATAAAATAAATTTAACCAAAGAGGTGAAATGTGTGTACTCGGAAAAACCGTAAGACACTGAAAAAGACATAAATATCTGGAAGTTCCCACTGTACACATGAATAGTGACTGTGCACGTGAATAGATACAGTGAACAAGTTGATGGTTGCAGATGGGAGGGCGTTTGGAGGTATGAGAGAAAAGGGGAAGGGATTAAGATGTACAAATTGTCAATTACTAAAATAGTAACAAGGATGTAAAGTACAGCATAGGAAATATAGTAAATATTCATGTAATAACTGTTGATGCTAAACTTCACATTAAACTTATCCATTTTTTATCAGGCATAAAACATTTTTGATGTTATTTTAAACGAAGAGATTCTTGAAATCTTAAGAAGGAATGGAAGCAGTATTCAAACGTAAGTGTGAAATTACTAATGTAGAGTAACTTTTCCTAAAAAGGGAGACTAATTCTTTTTCATGGACCTCAATAGGTTTTATTTTGAAGGGACATAGAATGGCCTCTAAGTGCAATGTCAAATCTCCTAATATTTCTTTAGCCTATTAAGAACCAACACTCAAAATACTGACCTCTATAAATGAAGCTAGAATTCTCTATAATATACATATATAACTGATATTTTTGTGAAAGTAGGCTTGGCAGAATGGGGAAGCATCTAGAGACCTTGGCGCACTTGAATTTGAGGAATCATCTGAAGGTACAGGACTGCCTGTGGACTATTGTGACAACTTACAGTTGTTTTATAAATTGGTCTAAGCCTAGTCTTGCTTCCCTGAAAATGCTTCTCCCAATGGCAACTCTGCCTACAAAGGACATACCCAATCAATGAATTTCAGCTGTCATCATGATTGACGAGCAAGTGACAAGGATCACTGAACAAGTGACAAGACTGTGAAAATGATCAGTATTGATTGTAAATGTGTCTGAAATGAAGATACTGAATATACTATGGACTATTAATTCCATGAATGTGGAATAATCATTTAACTATAAATCTTTAAACCCACACTAGTCACTTCATCTTGTGCAGACCAAAACATTTTTCCCCATTTTTTTCTAAAAGAAGGAGAAACTTTAATGATTACATAAGAGATGTAAGTAAGTATCTAAGATTTCTTGGATTGGCCAAAACTGGTTTGGCTCAATGGAGAACATCGGCTTGGAGACTGAAGGGTCCCGGGTTTGATTCCGGTCAAGGGCATGTACCTTGGTTGCGGGCATATCCCCAGTAGGGGGTGTGCAAGAGGCAGCTGATCAATTACTCTCTCTCATCAATATTTCTAACTCTCTATCTCTCTCCCTTCCTCTCTGTACAAAATCAAGAAAATATATTAAAAAAAGAAAAGAAAAAGATTTCTTGGATTCAATATTGTTTAAGAAAGAGAAAAAAAATGCTCTAAAAATGACATACATATAATAATCCTTCTTATCAAAGTGTGCTTACTGTATATATAATATGCCCTCAGTCTCCTATGTAAACTCTATGAGTGTAAGGGCAGTATTAATTAATTAACTCAACGCTATTGATTGAGCAGGCATTATAATGTGTCAGGCACTTTTTACTTACAGAGACTCAGCTACTTGTCCAGGTGCGGTGATCAGACAGTGGCATGCCTTCTGTTGCTCCCTTAGTCTAATGGGAAAGACAAGCAAGATGAAATAATCACATCAATGAGTGTCAATGCCAGAGGAGCACAGGGCATGGTGAGTGAGGTGCTGGGGACAGTGGGGGTGGAATGGGAGGACTGCCTACGTGAGGCAGAAGGGTCAGCTGGCTGAGGAAATGATTATTAGCTAATGCATGACATTCAAGTAGGATTTCACTTAGGAAAAGTAAGTACCTAAGCACAGAGAAGGGCAGGGCCTCGGCGGATGCAAGAGCAATCCAGAGAGGAAAAAGTGCTTCTGCAACTAAAACGGGGCAGCACAGGTGAGAATTTGAGAGAAGGTTCATGAGGCTAAAGGCAGAAAGCAAGTGCATGGAAGGTGCAACATGAGGCTGGAAAGAGAGGCAGGATAAGCAAATGCAGGCTCAGAGTAGAACAACAGATGCCCACTAAGTCTAACTAAGTCTAAGTCAGTTTCATTTTATGCCTGCTGTCCAGTGTAATCCTATATAATAAAAGGCTAATATGCAAATAAACCAAAGGGTGGAATGACCTGTCACTATGAGGTGCACTGACCACCAGGGGCCAGACACTCAAAGCAAGAGCTGCCCCCTGGTGGTCAGTGTGCTCCTACAGGGGAAGCACTGCTCAGCCAGAAGCCAGACTCACAGCTGGCGAGCACAGTGGCAGTGGCAGGAACCCCTCCTGCCTCCACCACAGCCCTAAGGATATCCAGCTGACGGCTTAGGCCTGCTTCTATGGGGAATGGGCCTAAGCCATCAATCGGACATCCCCCTAGGGCTCCTGGACTTCGAGGAGGTGCAGGCAGGAGTGAGGGACCCTCCCGAGTGCACGAATCTCATGCTGTGGGCCTCTAGTTAATAACAACACAGACTTCCACTCTCAACACATTGCGGATGGATCACGAGAATTCTCACTTCACATTACACAGTGTTTTACAAAGTATCATACTTTAAAAATACATTAGATTGTAAGAACATGTAATAAATAACTTCAAAGTGCAATGAGTGTTTAATTTTAAAGCATGCCTCTAACATTTATGTAAAACATTTTTTGTACTCGTTCAATAGAAACTGATCTGGCCACTGGGTAATGCTAGCAATGAAACTACTGGTCTGCAGTGTATTAAGTTCATGCCAGTGTGCTGAGGAAATGATATGATCACCTTACTTAAAGGCCGTATTAAGGATGTTGGTCTTTTCATAACTCCTAACAATAGGATATATTTACAATTGTGTAAGCAAGTAAGAGACATGCTCACATTTTACGCTTAAAACGATCATTGTCTTTGGCACTGGGGGATCTGCCTCTTGCTTTGATATCTTTCCTAACACTGCAGAAGCAAGATGGGTCACTTCTCCTCCTCCCAGGCTGCTCACTTACCATCTGTCAATGTTGAAAAAATACAAAAACACTGTACCACTATTTTCCTTATGAAAAACATGAATGCAACTTTCTTAGACCTAATACTTTCTTAGAGCAGCATAATCAGCTGCAAACTGCTTCTAAAATAGCTGTGTAATACTTTCTGGGTATCTTAATACTTATTTATCCTAGTAGCATCTTATCAAGGTCAAAATAACATACATCCATATCATGAAATACTATGCTTTTCTTCAATGAGAGAAACAAATAATAGGAAAAATGCTATGCCATTCAGTAAATATTTACAATGATAATTATAACCTATAGGAGTAGTTAAGAAGGCAACAGAAGGGATAGAATAGGAATGAGATGTCTTTTATTATACTTTTTTTGTTATTGTTAATCCTAATCCCAGGATGAGAGAGAGAGAGAGAGAGAGAGAGAGAGAGAGAGAGAGAGAGAGAGAGAGAGAGAATATGAATGAATAAGTTTGTGTATGGGGTGGGAAATATGGGATTCTTCAGTCAGCTAAGTCATAGGTTGGCAAACTATGGTTCAGGCTAACTATGGTCCCCAATCTAAGTCATTAATGGTATATTTGAACTTTTTAAAATTAAATATATTTTAGTTTTTTAGTAAGAAAAATAAAAATAATAGAAAGAATGAATAAATATGTGTAAGACTTAGTTTTTCTAAACATTGCTTCATCAAATAAAGGCTATATCAGTTGGCTTTCTAGAAAGAGGAAAGACATACATCAAATAACCACATAAATTAAGAAAAACTAGAGTATTGCTTTAAAATAGTACATTGGGGTAGATGGGAAAAGTGATAAGATATTTTAAAAATATTGCCCAAGACTTATTTTAAAAATATGAGCTTACTTTTCCAGGAATCCTAAAATACATTTGCTGAATTATCCGCTAATTCCTCTGGCGCCTCTAGAGAAATGTGTCAAGGATTTCTGAGCATTCTGAATGTGGGTTCAGAAAGGTGAAGTAGCTTGCCTCAGCAGCACAGCTCAGCAAGTCACCAGAGAGAGAGAAAGAGAGAGGAGGCTCTGGGCTTGAATCTTGGTTGAACCTACACGGAAGAGAGTCCAGAATGTTCTCTGGGGCATTTCCATGAATCAGATCCTTTCACATTTTAGAAGGAAAGGGATGCCACTAGCTACCGCCTGGAAAGTATGTATTACCACCTGGCTCTACGGGATTGGCACGGCCTACTGAGCCTGCTGGGATCCTTGGATTTAAAAAGGTTGTAGACTCAAGTCGAGGAAACCAAAGAGCTTCTGTTCTTGTAATGCAGTGCATTGTAGCTTCGATACAAAGGAGCCAGCAGCTTCTCTATTGTTACTATTAGCAATTTATGTCTTAAAGAAAAAAAAATAAAAAGCTAAAGTGAGCAGACTTGAGGCGGCTTCCCTCCTTATCTTGGGAACTGAAATGGAAGAGCTGGCAGTGCTCACCGCCTCACTGCCTTCCCCGACGCAGCTCCCCTCCCTGACAGGCCTGGGAAAGAAAACGCCAAGAGCTTTGCTTTCTTTCTTTTTTTCTCTTTCTTTTCTTCATTGATCTGATAGGGACCTCTGGAATATGAACTGTACCCTACAGCTTGCAGCTGACCTGTTGTACCCCCACATCAGCTGGTCATTCGCTCTGGTCTGGGCTACCTCTGGTGGGGTGGCATATCCTTCTAGAAGTTCCGGTCAAGGTCGCCTCTGCAAGGTGAGAGGGCCCCCATCGGTCAAAGGCGGTGCTCTAAGAGGTCAATGTAAGCTGTCATCAGTGACAGAAGCTCAGCTGCCCTCTCTTGGTGAAGGTGGTGTGTTCAGGGCACCAATAACATCTGCACCAAACAGCCGATAAACGTATAAAAGGTGCTGGTGCCCATTGGTTTCCAAATGGAAACTAAAACCGAGTGGGATACCACGTGTTTCAGAAGAATTTGGAAAAAAAGAAGAAGAAAAAAGTACATTCTGAAGTTGTTAGGGGTTGGTTTCTATAAATATCAGTGAGGTCACATCGCTATCTTTTCTGCTGCCCTGTCTACAGAATTACTGAGGAAAACTTGTTAATGTCTTTGTTTAGGATAAATTTGACTTTTTTTTTTTTTAACCCATTTGGCTTTTTTATTTCAGTCATTTTGGCCTCATGTACTCGAAGTTCTGTGGAGACACATATCCAGTTAGACTATAATATTTCCTAAGAGGATTTGATGCCATTATAACTAATTAACCCAGTAATTAATTCATTAACAGCAAAGGAGCGAAAGGAAGGCCTGATAATACAGGCATGCTACTTGTGCCAAAAAGCTGCAGTTTAACACTCTCCAGGTCTGTCCTCCCAGATCCTGGGGAAAGGGACTAGACCAGGAAAGAATGGGCGCATGCCCAGGAAAGTCTGAATGACAGAGAGGGTGCTTGTCTGTCAGTCACACCTGGGACGGGACATTGGCCAGAGGAGGCGTGGCCACTGCAAGCAGGGGGAGATGTGATACTGACACTCCTAAGCAAAGGGGGTTCTCTCGCTTGGCGCTCTTGCACGCCCGCCTCTTGTGGCCAGGGGCATGCTCCCTGCATTAGCCCACATGGCCCACAGCCTCAGGGAGCCCACACGCAAAGGATGATGGGCTAAAATTAGCGGATCCTGTGCCCGACTCACCTTCACCCTGGAAGGGAACCTCGGCATCGGCTGTGCTTCTGGTTCTGCTGAATCCCCAGCTGCACCTTCTCCAGGGCTGGCTTAAGGGAAACGAGACTTTACCAACCAAGGGGCATAACTTCACGCAAATTTAAATCACTCATTGTTCCATGTGAGTCTTGAGTCTTCTCAAGGTATTGTGAGAACCCCACTCCCACTAGCAACAGAGAAATTCCAACCATGTAATTTTCCCATAAAAGGCTGACCCTGCCGAAACTGGTTTGGCTCAGTGGTAAAGCGTCGGTCTGCGGACTGAAAGGTCCCATGTTCGATTCTGATCAAGGGCATGTACCTTGGTTGCGGACACATCCCCGGTAGGGGGTATGCAAGAGGCAGCTGGTCGATGTTTTTCTCATCGATATTTCTAGCTCTCTATCTCTCTCCCTTCCTCTCTGTAAAAAAATCAATAAAATATATTTAAAAAAAAAAAAAAAAAAAAAAAAAAAAGGCTGACCCTTTCCACCCTAGCTAGTTTGGCTCAGTGGCGAGAGCATCAGCCTACAGACTGAAGGATCCCAGGTTTGATTCCAGTCAAGGGCAGGATTCCAGTTGTGGGCTCAGTCCCCAGCAGAGAGCATGCAGGATGCAGCCAATCAATGATTCTCATCATTGATTTCTCTCTCTCTCTCTCTCTCTCTCTCTCTCTCTCTCTCTCTCTCTCTCTCTCTCTCCCTCCCTCCCTCCCTCCCTTCCTCCCTCCCTCCCTCTTCCTTCCTCTCTGAAATCAATAAAAATATGTTTAAAAAAAAGAAAAAAAAAGGAAAAAAAGATTGTCCTAGCTGGTTTGGCTCAGTGGCTAGAGCACTAGCCTGAGGACTGAAGGGTCCCAGGTTCGATTCTGACCAAGGGCACATGCAGTCAATCAATGATTCTCTCTCACCGTTGATGTTTCCATTTCTCTTTCTCCTTTCCTCTCTGAAATCAATAAATATATATATATTTAATAAAATAAATAAATAAATAAAGATTGGCCCTTTTATCATTGCGACATTTTTTAAATCTCTAACAATACTGCTTGTTTGGAAGTTTACTTTTTGTGTTATTAATTGATGAACTGGTTAATCACGTTTCCATGCTTTTTGTTAAAGGATAATGAAATTCCTTGGCTTCTTCTCCATGTGTGTTGGCTATCGTGCTGACCCGTGCAGAGCACTGCTCTCAATGTTTTTTTTGAAGGAAGTCATAGCCACAAGTTTCACTTTCCAGAAACCATGGTCCATGTGCTCACTTAGAACTTGGGCCCGTTTTAAGTTCTTTTTATGTATCCAGTATCCCAGACTTTACTTGTTCTTCTTGCCTTACCCTGGATCAGAATACATCTTCATGTGAATACACAGCCTCAAAATTCATGATTCAAATAAAGATAGTAGTAGGATTAGCATTTCTTTCTTTTAGGAAATTGGGATTTTAGCAGAAGGAGGTGGGAGCGGGCGGTGCTGTGCCTCAGCCATGTCCCACACAATGTAGACAAATGTATGTCTTGAGTGAGTTCCAATTCATTTTATAAAAAGCTTGATAATATCTAAGTGTGTTGTGCTGGCCAGGCACATATCCAAGCCTTCTAATAACGATAGTGTCCTTTTTAGTATGTGTAGTTGTTATAAACTATATAAGTAGTAGAGACATTTTAAAAGCAAGTTTATGTGGCATCATTATTCTAGGTTGTATCGTTTAAAAAAAATGATGTTGCTTTGGTAACATTCTAATGCTGACTTTGCTCCGACAAATTAAGTTACAATAGATTCAACTTTGCACCCTTTGATATCTGTCAAAATCAGACTCTGAATCAGAACCCGGGTTTATCCAGGTTCCTCCAAAAGCGCCCTAGACACATTCCTCATTAGGCATCTGTTTATTCCAAAACATACAAATACACCAGGGATGGAATTAGATAACACATTTTTGGCTTACTAAACGGGTTAGACTTAGTAAATATGGTACTCGCTTTTCAACGGATTCTGCCATCTGTCAGCAAACTTACTGCTTCTAGCACGGGTTTTTCTCGTGGTAATTTACAAGTTGTTTTTCATCCTTTGTTCTTTT